AAAAAAAAAAAGGAGTTAATGTCTTTCTTTGGTCATATCATGCCAAAAGAGCAAATCACGTAGCCTTGTGACCATATACAATATTCAACAAGAGAATCTGAAGATAGAATATGATCTTCAAGTCATGCTCATTCAGATATTCTTTTAACAGTCATCATGATTTGAAGTTGCATGCAATTCTCTTGGCATCCTTTCCCTACCTCTGTGTAACTGGTCGGATGCGTGACCATCCTGTCGAGCAGGATTTTTTTTGTGATCTAAGCCGTCATCATTCTCCCACTCATTTATGTCTCTGTCTTCTCGTTTCCCTTTTTCTTTTTCAACCTGATTCCACTGCTCTGTATCAGGTTGACTGTTATAACGTTCACCAACAGCATATGAAACAGCAGGTTTCTGAAATAAGCAAGCACAGGCATTATAGTAAGCAGTAAGGAACAATAACCATTATATCACACACTAGATAGACTACCTTTTCAACATGATTAGTCCTTGTTAGTGCCGCTGGGGAGACAACACCAGAAGTATCAGGTAGAAAATGAGTGAACTCGACAAGTAGATCCGCATGGTTCTGAAAAAGAACTGAAACCTACAAACAAATTTAAACAAGCAAACAGTTCTTTGTTGAGATTATAACACCAGGAGTATAGTGCACAATCACAACTCTTGAGGTTTGGCCAAATTACAAGGAACCCCAGTTAACTGAAAATTACAAAACCAGCATTGAGGTTACATGTCACATATTTTGACTGCACTAACCTAACCTCAAGGGTAGATTTGCAATTGTTCTATAATAATAACCAAAAAAAAAAAAAACAATAACACTGAGCTTAGAAGCATACCTCCTGATAAACCTCTGTTATAGATTTATTATCTTTTCTGTACAGATTCAAAATGTCAAGGAATGCTTTGTACACATGATCGTCTCCTTGAAATCTAGTCTGCAATTATTTTTCAACTGGTCAGTATATAATATACTAATGGATGCGGACAGCATAGAGATTTCTAAAGCATGGTCATAAAGCAATCGCACCTTGATTTTGTTAACAAAACTGATTGCTTCTTCAAATTCTACGGGTTTCTTCCTCAGATCATCATCGAGTGGGAGGGTGATTTCATACCCCTTTGGTAAAAAGGTATTGAAGCCCAGAATTAGGTCTCTGTAACCTTTAAATAACTCCTTTACTCTCGTTATAACACCAGTCGTATCAATTCTACAAACAATAAAATAGAGCGCCCAACATTAGAATAACAGAAATCAAGTCAAATATAGAGGGGGAAACTGCAGTTAAAGGGGCAAAAAGAAGAACAGCTATCCACCTTTGAGCTTTAAAATCTTTCATGACATCGAGAAACTCGTCATATTTATCCCTTTTATCTTGAAATATTTCTTTCACGGTTTTGAGATATGACAAGGCATCAGTTGTTGTCAATCTTTGCATGCTGCTTGCAGTCGACATGTGGACTTGTCCAGACCTTCATTAGCCACCAATTTGCATATTTCAAATCAATAATGAGCAGACACAACAAAATCATACAATTCTCAAGAAAATGGAGCAACTCCAGTCCACATATTATACCAAAACAAATCATCGTGTGGAGCTTCAATAATAATGGAAAGAAATTGATACTTGACATTCAAGGTCAAAACTTTCCAGACAATTGGAACAATGGAACAAAAGTACTTCACATATTCATTTACTGTTTATTATATAAAATGTTCATTGCAGCAGACCATCTACTGAAAATAAAGAATCGCCCGTGAAAACCTGATTCATGTATCCAGTGACAAACGATTAAAACCGGGAAAAGTTTCAGAACCAGAAAACACATACAAAAACAGCATAAAAAACACAAATTTATCAGATGATATGATAGTAGAAAACAAGCAGTAAAAGCAAACAAACGATAAAGATGAATAAAGCACAATAATTTCATTCGTTAACCTCCAAAGACAAGATAAAACTAATCACACCATAAAACAACATTTGATAAAAATTAGATTACAAAAAAAAAAGGAAAACATTAACGAATTATTAAACATAAATGAAGCAGTAGCATAAGAAGAACAAAGAAAAAAAGGCATTGAAAAAGAAAAAACTTACGGTTCAACAAGAGGAGAGATGGCGGGGCGCTTGACTTGAGGACTCACATACACATCATCTCTCGACCTCTTCATCCCTATCCCAACAGTTATTTGTTCTTCTTCTTCTTCTTGCCTCCCTAATCTCCAAAAGAATCACGCTTTATTCACTCCAAATTACACAAACAAAACAAAAAGGAAAAGTTGATCCAACCCCTGCATAACGACGAACAAGGAGAGTAAATTAGCAGAGCCCACTAAACTCAATTACATTCAAAATCATCGGAAAGCTAGATCCATTAAGCCCGCCTAACAACGATTAACGTAAACCAATTAACCTCAAACCAAGATCACCACCGAATTATCTCAACATTGCAGAACAAAAATCAAGCAAAACGAAGAGAATCACAAACACTTGGACACAGCGAAATCCAACCAAGAAAACCGAAACATACACAAAAGCTCGAGAAATCAAAAAAGAAGGAGAAAATTACAGAGCAAGAGATCCCTTTGGGATTTTTTCCAATGAATGAAGGAATGAGCAGGATACAGTTCTACCCCAGCTGCGCGCAGCACAATGTGTGCTGTGTGTGTTTGTGTGTGTGCACAAATTTGTACGAATACATACACACATATGTATATAAATCTTTCGAATTGTATTCTAATGTGAGAAATATTTTGCGAACTGGTTTTCCTATCTCCTGAAGGCAAACAAATATAGAGAGAAAAATAGAGTTTTATGGTGTGTGTGTGTGTGTGTGTGTGTGTGTGTGTGAGAGAGAGAGAGAGAGAGAGAGAGAGAGAGAGAGAGAGAGAATGGTATGGATATATGCAATTAGACACACTGTATCTGTGTGCGCGATTTATATATGCAGAAATCAGAATTGGATTGGAGAGACCAAGAAAGAATAGGAATAGGATTTATTTCTTATTTTTTTTGTTTTTTTTTATTTTTTTATTTTTAGTAGGTGTAAGAAGAAAATAATCTGAATTTGTAAATTTTGTTGGGATTTCCATAAATACATTTTTTTTGAAAATATTCCTTCCCAAGAAATAATTGGAAAAAAAATATATACATCGAGGAATAGCTATATCGTTGAACTATTTTCAACAATTAAAATATGAAACAACATAATTAGAATGCTAGTATACTTTGGGATGCTTAAATATATCAGACTTTGTTTGGATTGAGTGATTTGAAATTTGTGGAAATAATTTTAAATTCATGAATTTCAAATTTATTGTTTGGCAAACTATAAGAACATTTTTTTATTTTTTTGACAAAATAACATAAAAAAAAAAATCATTTTCTAAAACTTCTTTATTAGTACATATTTTCAGGATCATCTCAAATCATTTTAAATGGACTCTTACAAATGTCATAAGCAAATAATGAAAAAAAGAAGGATAACATGTTGAATTTACAAATCTGTCAATAAGAATTTTTCCATAGAGATAAGTTGCATCATGAAGACAAATCCAACACAATATTCACATAAAGCATTCCAAAAGCAAATCACATAATATTCACATAAAACATTCCAAAAGCAAATCACAGAAGTTTAACACAATACATTATCATTTCCAACAAATAACAAGGCAATCTTTTTTTTTTTTCTTCTGGAAAGGCTTTCAAACAATTTGAACTCCTCTGGATCGCCATTCATTAGCTTGCGGACAGCTTTGAACACTTCTTCACAAGTAAGCCCTGGTATATCCGATACAACCTCATGTATCTCAATGCCACTTGGTTTCTCTTCTTGTTTTTTCCTTGCCAAATACTCTTGGAATGGAGTAGCAATAACACCTACCACTTCAGCCAGTGAATCTTTTTTTAACTTTGCTTTTTTCTCCATGTTCGAATCTGTTGAACTTGATGTCCTTGCTCGTGCTCTCAAATCAAAAATAGGGGCAAAGTCTTCTTCAATCTCAACATCTTCATCCATTGCTTCACTACCTTCTTGAAAAGTTTCAACATTTTGACCTGTTGCTCTATATCTCCCACATAAGAGAACAATGTCATCCCAATTTTCTATCGTTTTATTTGCATCCCTTTTGCATCAGAATGTGACTGCATATAGAAAATCAACAACATTTATAACAGTTACTAATGTGCACTTTAATATAATATGTAGATTGAAACAACACATACATAAAAGATCGAAGGATTCACAGTAATATGAATGTCATAGGAATTCATGGGATGTATGATGTGCGTTTTAATATAATATGTACAAAAACACAGACTTTAGTGGAACACGACAAAAACACCTCCCATCCCACACCTCCTAAAGATTAAGTATAATTTAGGTGATCATATAAAGAATGCATACATATAGACACAAATTTATTGATGTTGAACAACAATTGGCATTAGTCGCTACATGATAAGACTACAAAATCAAGCCACATGGGTCGTCTAATTGTAACATTCTCCAGCCTCTAGTTTAACAACGACTTTCACACCTTAGCAATCATAGCTAAATAAAAGTATGCCTATTGACGTGCATTAATTGTTATTACATATCTATACGGATACAAAACAATCAATGAGATAACAATCAAGGAGAGCTCACAATGCAAAGACATGAAAAGATAACAATCCCCCAACTGTTTGCTCCATATGCTGTATATTTGTAACCAAAAAAAAAAAAAAAAAACGTGGCTAACCTCCACATATGCAACCCATGAACTCGATTCATCGGAAGTGACAACAATCATTTTCCTATCCTCGTTCCAAGCAAAACCACTTTGATTAGTTTGGATGTCAGAAACCACATTGAAGTGCTTCTTCCAGCTTTTCAGTCTATTTTTTTATGTTATCTTTCATCAAATTCAAATGCAACTTTGCATTTAAGTACGTCACAGCAGCATGCAGAGCTTGAAGCTTCCAGGTATCACCATCACACTTGTGTCCAAGAGTCATTTGTTCAGTTAATATGAAAATCAAATGACTGTCCATCTCCTTATTCCAAGATACAAATGATTGTTTGTGCTTAACAACTGAAACAATGCATGTAAAAAATAAAAACACACACATATCAGTTGAACCAATATAAACCTGAACATCATGCATTATGAAAGGTTACCTTCAACAGCAACATTATCAGTAGAAGCATCATAGGCGGAAAAGTTCCTATTGGATGCTTTTGTGTTAATTGACATTGAAGCTTTTGTTCCTTTTCTCATCCTGTTATTCATACTTTCTTTATCACCCGTAGCCAAAATTATGAAAACAACAAGTTAACAACATATAGTAAGAATTTTTACTTAAATATCTAAACTTTATATCACATAAAAAGAGCTAAAGACAAACCAAGTATCAACAAGTAATTGTTTTGCAATATATAAAAATGTTGGAAATATACTATTCTCGTCGAGCTTGATACTCATCAAACATTTGTAGGGCAAGATTATCCCGAAAAGCAGTCCACTCGGGTGTAGTTCTGACAACTCGTATATTCTCTTCATCGTTATATTCATCTTCCACTCTAGAACGACTTGTTAGTTCTTTGTCAACTTCAATCAACAAAGGATCAATTGACATCTCACAACGCACAAAATTATGCAAAATACAACATGCATTGATGATTCTAATTTGAGTCTTCACACTATAAAAACTAGCAGCCCGCAGAATAGCCCATCTTTTCTTCAGCAAACCGAAACTCCACTCAATTGCATTTCTTGCTGAAGAGTGTCGAAGATTGTACAACTCTTTGTAAGTCTGGGGAATATTTTCTTTTCACAAATTCAAATGATAACGTGTTCATCTATATGGAGCAAGAAAATCAGGACCATTTGTATAACCAGCATCCACAAGATTATTTGGTCTACCAAAAGTATACAGGAAAATAACATTAATATCTTTAAATATTTTAAGACTATACATTAGCTAATAAATTTCAACCTACCATTTGGAAGCCTTAAAACGTTAGTTTTGTATAATGCATCACGCAACACTCGTGCATCCGAAGTGGATCTCTCCCATCCAGGTAGCACATAGAGAAATTTTAAATTAGCATCACAAACTCCTAACACGTTTGTACTTATACCACCCTTCCTATTCCTATATCTGTTACGATCCTTCACTGGAACAGTGAGGTCAACAAAAGTCCCATCTAAAGCTCTCAGTTCATTCTACACAATTTAATGAATAAGTTTTAAACCATAGTTTTTTATAATGCATGTATTTGATAAGAATAAAAGTTGAATAATTATCGGAAACCATCTCTATCTACTTGCATCCCTCTCATTATATAATCCATCACTTTATTGCTTGAGATAAATTTTTCCAACTTTTAGCACTGCGCGTAGTACAGTATGAAACTGCCTACTTATAGTTTCCCCTGACCGCAGAAATATAGATGATGTTGTACTATTTTTTTGATCATGAGCGAGGATATGTAGAAATACTGCCCCAGTTTCTTTTATTGTGACATTTCTTGAAGCAAATAGTCCACCCTTATTTTGTAATACATCACATAATTTGTTAAATGAGTGCACATTTAGTCGCAATTACTTAAAACATGTAGGATCACGACATAAGGATCTCGTCCAAAGTTCCCTCCATTGAGCTCTTACATCATTTTTCACGAGAACCTCTTTGATAAAATATTTATTATGGTACCAAGCTCCCAAAACAGCTACCAGAGAAATCAACAGAACAATAATAATGTCTGAATCTTATTCATCATTTTCCACATCCTCTCGTCTACGTTTTCTACTACCATTATCCATAAGAACTACATCAATGCCACCTCTAGAGGTCATTTTTAAAAAAATAACATGGGGAATCACACAACATTAAAACAAAATCATAAGAATGAAGAAGCAAACAAAACAAGCATTCAGACTCTAGATTATTCTATTTAAGTCATACTAATAGTTCACAGTATTGATTCACACTCAATTAGTAAACCAATTCCCAAAGTAAACATACACCTATCATTCACAATACTAACACAAACGCATGTAACTTTTTTATTCTCTTAGTCTTAGCCAGATAAACAGGATCAGACATCCTTTTATTCTTGAAGCCATAAAAGTACAAAGGAAACACATAAATCCCTTCACAAAACAAGTAAACTAGATCCAAA